AGAAGCTTAAATCATGCCATCAATTCTGGATACATCTCCCCTTACAAGGTGGGAAAGAATAGAGTGGTATCCCATCTTGCTTTTGCAGATGATCTTATTATCTTTCTTAAGGGAGACCTTAGGAATATCCTAAGATTCAGACACCTTCTGGATAGCTATCTTAAGGCTTCAGGACAGGAGGTTAATAAAAAGAAAAGCAGGATTTTCTGCAAGAAAGGGAGCAGAGGTTTATATACTAGCAAGCTGGAAGATACTTTAGGGTTTAAGGTGGGAAACCCTCCTTTCAAATACTTGGGTTCTACTATCACTCAGGGTAAATTCAAAAAAACTCACTGTGATCATATTCTTCACCATTTTGATGCTTATATCAACAATTGGTATAGTAAAGAGCTTAATCCTATGAGTAGACTCATTCTTATCAAGCATGTCCTAAGTGCAATTCCTATGCATACCCTTGCTGTCCAAGATCTTCCTAAATCCATTATTAGGACCATACATGGCAAACTGGCTAACTTCTTTTGGGGGAGCAAGCAAGGAAGGAACCATTACCATTGGGCCAAATGGGACACATTAACTAGACCCACTTGAGAGGGAGGTCTGGGGATCAGGAACTTGGATGATATTCAGAAAGCCTCAGCTTTAAAACTTTGGTGGAAGTCTCTTACAGGGAATTCTCTCTGGGCCAGATTTATGAAGAACAAATATGCAAGGGAAGGAACTTTTGAGGCTAAGATTTATGACTCTGCTTCTTGGAAAAGAATCTGTAGAATCTCTCCTATCGGTCTACAATTCACTACAATTACCAACCAGAATGTTTGTTGGGTCAATGGTAATTTCTCCTTCAAAGAAGCATATTGGGCTGTTAGAGAGAGGGATGTCAGCACTCAAATCAACACACTGACTTGGAATAAGTTCCAAATCCCTAAAATTAAGCTCTTCACTTGGAAAGCTCTTAACTAATATTTACCCTTCCCTAATATTCTCAACAGACTGTCCTATAACATGCCTAGCAAATGTCCATTTTGCAATAACAATGAGGCAACAGATTCTCACATTTTGCTTACCTGTGATTTATCAAGGAGTATCTGGAAAGACTTTGCAGATTATACTACGGGGCCCACCAGGACTAATGCGATGGATCTTAGGGAATACATGTTGGAGTGATGGCTGTCACATAGCAAAACATCTCTAAGAGGATTATTAAGGTTAGTTCTACCTGGCTGTATCATTTGGAATCTTTGGAAAGCATATAACAGAAGCATCTATGAAGACACAATGGAATCGAGGATTGGGATAACCATTGAAATCCAGAAAATGATTCAACATTGGGTATGGTCCAACAAGAAAGTACAGAAGATTTCAAGCAAGGAGGAAATTGAAGCTCTTAATCTCAAACCTTACCTCTCCAAGGACAAATGAATGCCATGGACGTTGCGCTGCAGATCAAATTAGGGAGCTGCTTCAGAGTAAGAGGCAGTCGACTAGGCTCGTCTTTCTTGTATTTGCTCTTTCTAAGTATATTGTTGTATCTCTTACTTTTGGGGCTTCGGTCTAGTCCTGACCGAACGTGTTCGAATCTTGTTTTATAAATTTGGTAAGGCAGCTCGGACCTTACCCCACTGATTTTGGTGGTTTTTTTCTAGGCAAAAAAAAATATTGTTGAATACTTATTTCCTTTTTTTAATTCTTCTATTTTCAATTGTTTTTTTTCTTTTCTATTATTCATTTTTCTAAAATGATAATTACTTCTTAAAAAACATATTGATTAAAATTTATCATTTACAATATTTTTTCCCGAATTTCAAATAATCTTAAAGACTACACCTGAATTTTGGTGTTTAAATATTTGTTTATAAAATAATATAGCGATATCAATTATATACTCAATCATACTACAACGAAATATCTATAAATTATGTATTTATTTAAGTTGCTTTCTTTAATTATTGAAAGTTTTTTTTAAAAAAAAATATTTTTAAGAATTTAAAGTACCAAATTTTAATTAATATTACTGAAATGTTTATTAGTGTATTAAGTTTTTTAATAAATACTCTCTTTATCCACAAGTTTTCTTCTGTTACGGTGTTTGAATGAAATTAGTTTTAATTCATTTTATATGATAACTCGTGTAAAATTAAATAATAAAAAAACATATTCAAAAACAAGATCAAAAGTTTTACAAAATTAGAGATGATGTTATTGTATTATTTTCACGCACGATTAATTTGAAATCTCTATTATAGAGCTCCGTTCTATATGGTTTGGGGGGGGGGGGGGGGA